TTAAGTAAATGGTCAAATATTTGAATAAAATAACTGAGACCTAAATTTAGATATGCTAAATTAAAACATACATTGTTCCAAAACAAATATTGTTTTACATTACAAGTACTTTATGTTATAAGCATAAATAATAAACTAAACTCTGAGAGTGTAGTTTCAACATGATTATGCTTAGCTGGTACTCTTCTAGTAAATATCTGCAAACCATTTACAAATATTAGATAAACATTAAGTACCAAGTACTTAAGTGTTATATGAAAAATATGAGTTCTACATAGTAGATACCTGAAGTACTAGTCTTTTCCAGACTTTCTTTTCAGATAAGAGGGACAGTTCCTCTTCCAGTGTCCAGTTTCTTCACAAAGGAAACAAGATCCATCTATGTGGGCTTTAGTAGATTTCTTGGGCTTAAAGGTCTTTAGTCCATAAAACATGGGCCTCTTAGATCACACTATGTGACTCTTTTAGCCTTGCACTATACCAATGTTTAAACTAGTTTTAAATAACATATCACTGTATTTTTTGGAATATTGCTTGACCTGTTATATCATCAGATATATGTTTAAATTATCCAAGACTTCCTAGAAGTCATGAATAACTATTCCTAGCTTGATGTTAGAAGCATCTTTAGCATCACAGTGATGCCTTTACTAGGTATCATGTTCAGGTTTATTGCTCAAAGCAAATACTTTAGGACTAGGACCTTTAAGTGTATACAATTTCATATCTCTCACGAGATTGTCTCTTAAGACATGAACTCATTCATTGAAGTTGTATCTAGTGAATGTTATTGTTTCATTAAGTCATTAAAGAAAATGACAATTCATGATAATGAGAATGGATTATTTAACTACAAATTTTTAACAAAATTCATTTAGTATTTTCAATATTTAATCTTTAATAATTAATACCCTTTTAGTTTCCAAAAACATTAATTATCAAAGTCTAGGATCCAAGGTGCAAAACAAATAAATGGTTAGGTATCATTTATCCCATCCATTTGAATTCAACTCGGTAGATATCGATTATCAATTATATCTTGCTATATAATTCCTAGATTTATGGGATCTCTAATAACAAATTTAATTAGACATGTTTGATCCCATCTATGCCTCAGAACTCTCTTGCTTAGGTATCCTTTATCACAAAAAATTTCGATCAAATCATCCAATTTGAAAAACTTGTGTAATCGGTCTATAACTTGGTTATAGAAATTGCGAAGATACCCCGACCATCAAGTTACAAAAGATAACACTTTATTTTATTACTTATATATATATATATATATATATATTATATATATATATATATATGGAGTTTGTATAAGTTACAAAAATCACCATTTTAAACTTATAATGGAGTATTTCAAAATTTGTCGTTATTAACGATTTTATAAAACCGTGTTTTATTTTTAAAATAATAATTTGTTACATCTTATGTCCAATTTTTAAAACCCAAACTCCATGTGATGTTTATTTTGTCCAAATTATTTTAGCATGTGAAAAACTAATTTATCAACCACACATAATAATTGCATAAAATAAACAACACAAACATGCATAAAAAGATATGTGCATAAACATAACCAACTAATGACATTTTTTTTTGTGAGCCAACACAAAAAAATGTCAAGTCCATTCCTAAAGGGACGTTTAAGGGGACCAAAAAACTTCTTGTAATGTTGTTGAAGAAGCTTCCACTTGAGTAAACACCAATTGTTTGCAAAGGATTGGAAAAACTTCTTGAAGGCTAAAATTTAACAACTGTCGCTAAAAGTCCAACAACCATTTGTAAACAACATTAGTACACTTTTCAGAAAATGTAACTGAAAATCCTACACACCTTTTAGACTCGAAAATTGCTCTTTTGTCTTCAAAAATGGTTCCAACTTCATTTTTTGTTACATTTTTGAACAAATAAATTAATTCTAATAAACTAATCTATTACTTACAAAAATAAACCAAGAAAACTAATCTATTTAATTTATTACATACCATATGAATAAATAAATTATTACAATCATTTTTATAAAACAACCAACACAACAAACACAATGGTCATTGGCTAGTTTATGCATATCATATACATCAACATACACATAAAACAACATTTGTTTTTCTAAGACAACTTTAAATGACAAAAGATGCATGAAACTTTTGTCACATAAAATAACAAATATAAAGTTGTCATAGAAAATATGTATGAACTTATTTTTATACAAAAACAAGTTATCCATATTCTCCAAAAACTAAGATTTCCAAAAATCAAAAACTAAAAAATAAAAAACTAACCAAACTTGCAAGGTGGCTCTGAAACCAATTGTTGGGTTTTAGTTCAAAAATAGTTTCATAAACTTGAAAAATATAGCAAACGGAAGACTTATGATTTTCGAAATAACATAAACATTTTATACCCATCATGGATCTTTCTTGCAAGTTATAGAAAGATTTAAACACCAACCAAAGAAAGGATGAAGAAATAACAACCTTTGTTGTTCTTTGGGTCCTCTTGGGAGGCTTGGAAGTTGATGAAGAACGTGGAACCTTTGAGACACCAACATGAAGCCAACTTGATGTAGATGCTAGTCCATAAACTCTTACACTCTTAAGCTTGAAGTTCATAACCAAAGTATGAACTTCAAGAGAGTATAAATGCAAGTAATCTTCAAGTGTTCTTAACAAAACAAGAGAGAATGAGGGAGAACTTAGGAATTTCGAAATTTGCATGAAAACAGGGACACACAATATAAAAGCCTCTAAGCTAGTTAAAGTGAATCTAAACGTCCTTAACCGTTAATCCCTTTAGACAAGCTTGTCCCCACATGCTTTCTATCATACCTATTACTTTTGAATAAATTAACATGAAAGTCATACTCTTGTCTTTTGACTCTTATTTTAAAAAAATAATAAACGGAAGAAGACAAAAGATTTATATTTTATAAACAAAGTTTATAAAATATAAACTTTAACTTTTTTGGTAAAAGACAAAAGAATTTATCTAGTCCAAAATGTTGTGTATGACTTATTAATTCATACCATATGAATTATATATAATGTTACTTGCTAATGAAAATTATTATTTCCTAGAAATAAATAATTTCTAATTTAATTATAAGAGTTTATTGAATATTTATTAAAATCAATTCCTAATAAATAATCAATTATATCAAGTTATTGTTAATGTGACCCATTAGTATCATATGTTAATTAACAATATCACTTTAATATGATTCTTAAGCATACTAGATTTTTCACGTACCCCTAACCCTCTTTTGGTCACTCATCAATCTCTTGAACTAGTAACTAATCATATATTCCTCTCACCAGTAACCCTTACTAAGGTCACTCTTTCACTCTACGATGTCTCTGACCAAGTAAGTTTCAAACAATATGATTATTTTGTTTTATGAAGTTCTTTGAAATTTTTTATAGTGGAGGCTATTATTTATTAAAACAACCATGTATTCTCTTATAATTAATAAGTAACATTAATCTTGTATGTTTTTATAGCAAAAATGAATTCTCAGTTTGAAAAGCTATTTGGAGCCATCATGATAAAGAAGATATAATCAAAATGAAAGTTATATATAAAAGCCAAAATCGAGCCGATGAAAGTGAAAATTCAGTTGTATTAGAAAAAAAAAATAGCATCTATAACATTGTTTGAACACTTGATTTGTGTTTATATATATATATATATATATATATATATATATATATATATATATATATATATATATATATATATATATATATATATATATATATATATATATATATATTTTCAAACTTAAACAATAATTGGAATTCTTTTTTTTTCTTTAGTTGAAATATAAACGAGTCAATCATATGATTCAACTTGTTTATTAAATATGCTGGGTTAGGAAAATTAACATAAATATGTCGATCTGATTTCAAATTCATTTTATTAAGCATATTGTGTTTGATTGAGAATTCTCTAAGTTTAATTAAAAAGTTGAATTGGATTAAGTTTTTCAATATGTTAAACATATCACATTATTAGACCAAAAAAAAAACCTTACATATTATCACTCCTAAAATAGATTTGGGGCCTTATTGAAAACAAAAATAGTCATCTTAGATTTTAGCCGGCTTAAGGGGTTCATAGAAAAACAAAATAGAAGGGCTCTTTCTAAATATAGGAAAGCATTGAAGTTTCGACACTTTTTTATTCGAACAGTCTCTCATATTTTGTTGTGGAAAAAGCCACTTAAACAGGCTAAAATTTGTTTACCAGTAACAACAATTTGAGGTTTCTTCCTTCTTTGGTCTTTAATGACTTTTCCAAAAGTGAAAAAGTCATGTAATATAACTTTGAATTGATCATTCTTCTAACAATAACCCATTAATTAATTAAAAATTGACTGTTTATTTCATTTGTAATACATATAAATTTAAACATGCACATTAGCGATTTGGACCGGTCTCATAATGATTTATTTTATTTTTCGGCCTCGTCACGTGCTCTTTATGTGTGTTGATTTCTGTTAAATTTTGGGTTTTTTCGGTTCTGTTTGGTATGTTTTTTGGGTTTTTGGTTTCAGTTTTGAGTTTTTCCGTTAACATGATTAACACCAAAATGATGTATTGATATTTATAAAAATGATACACTAAAATAAAAAATAAAAAAGGGGAAAAAGTTAAGTAATAGCTATGATTAACAATTATGTAAAATAAAAAAATTGATATGTATATAAAGTATGACTTTTGGTCTTTTGAGGCTGATCTTGGAATCGGTTTGGTCTTTTTGTTCATGTCTACATATAATACAGCTTTGAATTGGGGCTCATGTAGATATCATAAAAGATAAAACTAAACCGAAACAACAAAGAATGAGCGTTAGTTGCCATGATGTTTAATTAATGTGTGCTGATATCACACTTGAGATCCAAAGTGAACTAGTCCCTCTTACATGAAAAAAAGGAAAATGAGGATCATATTTGAGTCGAGATATCAATAACCATGAATTGATGATGATGTAGGTTGAATGATTTGATTGGCTTTGTATTATATTAAATATGAGGGATAACTTATTAACTTGTTTGTACAAAAGGCATAAATATCCAAATTTACAAACAATGAAAATGAAGTGTGTATTTAGTTATTATTTTTTTTTTCTATTATTATTAAAGATTATACACATTGAAAGAATGTGGTGCTATAAAGTTGGTGCACGAAGTGCTGGTGTTGGTGTTGGGGAACGAAGAACTTGTTGCAAAAGACGTGCAGCAAGACGCTGTGTAATCCCCCCAAATACACGCCCTCCAAGATTTCTAGCCTCTGGTTCTTGAAGAACCTGACAATATCAGACTCAGTAAGAGACATATCAATTATCAAACAAACAGACATGAGTAATGTTACTCTTACCTGTATAATTGGCTGTAGGACACTAGGATCAAAATTATCAGAAGCGCGTAAAAGCCCCCAAATCCTCAAAACTTGTTCTCTCAGCTCCAACATGCTCTCCATTTCAGCCTCACTGAGACCCGTCGTCCCAATTCCATTCCCATTCGGGAGAAAACTCCTCAAAGGCCCCGGAATGGAATTGTAGGTATCAATTACAGTTCCGATAGTAATCGCCTCGGTCACCCGAATAGCCTCTTTAATAACCAAACTCCTCAACTCCTCCCCATCAGGACCCAACACCAGTTTCAAAACAGGCTGCAATGCATCTTTTGCTGCAAAATCCCTATCCATTTTCCCCTGCACTAGCAGGTTTTCAAGCCTATTCCACCTGTTTCATATTCACAACAATCAACAAAATTAAACTTTGATTATTAACAAAAAAGAAAAAGAAAAAGAAAATACCTCAACTTTCCATCCTTGAATACCAACTCAATAAGGGCATCTCTTAGATACGGATTCGGATCTGTGAGCAGCCTTTTTGCAAAATAAGGATACGAAGCTGCTAGAACCTTAAAATTAGGATCCGCATAAAGTGCCAAACCTTCTAGAACAGTTAGTGATCTCAATATCAATGCATAGTAAGCAGGGACATTGAATGGATACTGATAAAGAACAGCACCGAGTCCATCCACAATGGTTTTAAAATTGAGTTCACTCACTGTAGAATTCAACGCATCATCAAAAAAGTTTCTAAGTGCTGGGACAATTGGGGTGACATCAACATCAGGAGATAAAAAATCCAAAGCATAATAATCACGAGCCATGGCTTCATAATCGCGATTAACCATATGAACAACATGACCAATGATTGCAAATCTTGCTTCTTCAGGTGTCTCACTCATCATTCCAAAATCAAGAAAAGCAAGTTTTCCTTCTGGGGTTGCTAAAAGATTACCAGGGTGGGGGTCTGCATGGAAGTAACCATATTCAAGAAGCTGCCTAAGGCTGCATTGAATACCTGTGTTGACTAAATCCAAGACTTTTAACCCTTGACCTTCGATGATTGCTTGTTCGTTTAGTTTCACCCCTTCAACCCATTCCATGGTTAGAACTTTCCCACTCGTGTAATCCCAGAAGATGTCTGGAACAAGAACATCTTCTTTGTCAGCATATAGCTTCTTGAATCTTCTAGCATTTTGTCCCTCCTGCACACACCTGTCAAAATTAACATTTGCCTAAAACAGTTTTGTGGATTCAAAAGGTAATGGAAGTTACCAGAGGACTAACCTGTACATAGTTGAGTTCTTGATAGACTCTTCGTGCGAATTCGTCGATTAAAGCAACAACATCACTGGTTATTATGTCTGCGTATTTGTTTATAAGTAAACCAAGAGCTCTAATGAGGTAAAAGTCTAGCCCAATGGCTTCTTCAATACCAGGCCTCTGTACTTTCACAGCAACAAGTTGCCCAGTATACTTGAGTTTAGCTTTATAAACTTGACCTAGACTGGCTGCAGCAATAGGAGATGTTGATATGGATGAGTAAATGGAATCAAGTGGGACTCCGAGCTCTTTTTCAATGCAAGCAAATGCCTCTGCATCTGGGAATGTTGGCAAAGCATCCTGCTCAATCATGAAAAAAATGGAGTCAACTGTCAAGCATATGAAAATGGTGTCGACTGGAAAGAAAGGAAAGAAATGGTGGTTTTACAGAACCTGGAGTTCAGAGAGTTCTTCAAGGAATTCAGGTGGACAAAGATCTGGTCTGGTGGAGAGACCCTGACCAAGTTTAACGAAAGTAGGGCCTAACCTCGTGAAAGTCTCCCTCAACTCGATAGCTCGCGATCTTCTGTTCTGTACAAGCTGACCTTGCAACTGATCTATCCAGAGTTTCAATCCAAACGAACCGAGTCCAATCAGAATCTGAAGAGTCCTCCGTAGCACCTGAAGTTGATTTACTACCACAGGAATTAGAATTTCAAATTTGAAATTTTCGATGTTTATTCAAGGTTAAGGTTGAACAACAATTTCAGAATTTTGGTGAATTCAATAAATTGGGGAAAACTCACCTTGAAGGGACGAGAAGCGTAATTTAATTTAAGAAGTTCAGGACTATAGACGGAAGCGTTGGAGGCACGAGCCAAAGCTTTGGTTTCGGCTTGAATATCATCTTCTCTACTCTTGGAAGCCGGCACTATGGAAGAGACGACACCATTAATATTGTTATTACCTCTAACCGAAGGCAAAGCGCGAGGTCTAGCTTCCTCAACCAGCGCTGCACGTAGGGGTTTGGCCCTGAATCTGGTTCTGGTCCGACATTTAGGGTGGGTGGTTTTGGTCGTCCTGGTTCTGTTCCGGTAGAAAACGGATGGGTTTCCGGGTGATGTAGTTGAAGCTGGGGAAAGGGTCACCGAACTCATTGTTGAAGATGGTTAATGGAGGTCGATCCTCCTCCTTGAAATCGCAAGGGGAGAAGAAGGTAAGGAAATCAAGTAAATAGATTATAGAAGAATGTAATGAGTGTGTGTGTCGTATAGAAACAAAATTCTTGGCTAAAAATGGAAGGGAGTTACATATGGTGTACGAGTTTACCCGTCGCTCATCTGCCTGCCTATAGCCTTTCTCACATGGAGATGTCAACAAAATGAATGACACAAACTCATAAATTCAAAACTTCTACTTCTATCAAATATCAATCTTAATCTTTTAGGTTAACTAGATTGGTTTATTTTATCAAATCATACAAAGGATACGTCTTTCTAATTCGATTTAAGTTAATCATGATTGAGCCCGATAATCATGTTGCCCGATTCTATTCTATTATCATTAATTAAAAATTAACATTTTAGCTAATCTATCGGACTAGCCTATTTTTGGATCTTTGTTCTGGTTGAACCACTTTAATGGATTAATTAATCTATCAAGAATTATTTTGAAATGTATGTAATTACATGTTGTTTGAGAATGTTGCAATATGATTATGGTCTATATTTTTTATAGTCTTTTCGTGATATAAGGTTATTTTCCACAACGATTTGATTAGACACGTATTGAGGTTTTGGATTTAAAGGTGAACATGAAACTTTATTGATCAATAAAAACAAGGAAACTAATATATAAATTTGTAAACTGATTCATTTTCAGTCTAAAAAAATACAATTATGTTATTTGTTTATATTTTAGGATAAACAAGATACCCTTTTGGTGTGATTTACAATTAGAATCAACAAGTCTTTTTAACAAAAATAATATTACCACATATTCTAATAAGAGTTGAATAAGGTGGTGATTAGGATTGAATAGATGTTTAATGGAGTCTGAGTAATGATATGGAATGAAGTTCAATAAAAAAAAGTTTAATAATCGTTCAACTCTTCAATAATATTCAATTAAGAAAAGAAAATGATGATTAGGATTATATAGGTGTTTATAAACATAAGTGTTAAAAGTAAAGTTGAATATGTAAGTTTAATGGATAATATGACAATCTATTAAACTCTATAGTGTTGAATAGATTATGAATTCTCTAATTGTAGGGGTTTCTCGTTAACAATCAAAGATGGTTGCAAAACAATTTTTGATCGTACAAATAACAATGTTTCTCTAGAACTTTGTAACATATTCCATGGGTTAACCATTTTTTTGTGAACTAGTGTTCGTTACTTGCATCCATTTTAGTTTTTAATTATTAAAATATAGTAAAAAGAAAAGAAAAAACATAGTAAAAATGATAAGATGGTTTTTTCATATGCAGTGCAACAAACACATACCATAGACTAAATGTTATAGACTAAATGTGTGAATTTGGGAAAACAGAGGGGCCAAATGTGTAACTTACTAAAAAATTAAGGGAAATGTAAAATGCTCTGAAAATGTCGATAACAAAGATCAAGAAGTGGGAATAGGGAGTCCAAAGCAGTGGTCGTTTGAGTTTTGATCAGAGAGTTGGGCAATTTGATTACACCAGAAGAATTAATCTGCAACTGAGACTGTGATACATCTGAATTCTCTTCAATTTTCTTATTGATTGAAAAACCGTCTGGAATCCGCCAGAGGGATCGCAGAGACTGGCACCGGCGTAGCCATGGATGATATGGAGGATTCTTTGTTCGAGGGTATGGTCCTTTTTGACCCTTCTTCATCATCCTCTTCTTCTCAATTGCCAGTAGATGATGATAAGAAGCAGGATGGTGCTATTGAACTACCCAATCATCGTGAAATTAGTCAGCAACCTCCTCAATCCCCTACTTCCGCCGCCACAACCACCGCCGGAGCTTCATTTGAGCCCCTGGATGAAAACCTCTTCTCGGATCTAACCCTCATACAACCCCAATCTCAAGAAGACGCCCATTCCTCCCTCGACCCTCCTCTTTCGCCGTCATCATCATCATCGCGCAGTACTACTGATGTTCCCACAACAACATTTGCATCGCCATCACAATTGTCAACCGCCATAGATTCCACCAGTGTTAGTGATAGTAGAGGAGTTGTCTCCCCTGCCCGATCGCTCTCATCACAGATTTCCTCCACCAGAAAGAAGAAGAGAGCTGGTCTAAGGATCGGATATGGTAGAGCAGCCCAGTCACAAGATTCCACCATTGATGCTGATGATACGCAGCCACAGATCCGTCTCCCATCTCCATCCATATCCCCATCTCCATCCCTGTCCCCCTCTCCATCACTTCCCATTGTTGCTGCTGAAAAAAATCTTGAACCAGAAGAAGAAAAGCAGCAAATCCGTCCTGATTCTGGAAGTGGTTCCGTTTCAACTGTGGCAGAAGCAACCACCTCAGCAGTTGAAGAACGGATCAAGATAAATGAGGCCATTCCCAATTCAGAGTCCGTGGACTCTACATTGAAGAATACGCCACAAGAAGAGGAGATTACAGAAGTGCAAAGTAGGGAGAATTCAGTGGAATTTAGATACGACCAAATTAAGAAACAGATTGCTGACAAACTCAATGGTGCTCACCAAGCAGTAGCTTCTGTGTCAGCCAAACGCAAGGAATCCATTAGGAAGAGAAGGAAAGCAGAGGAGGAGCTGAATCTTGCATCTGCAAAGCATAAAGAAATGGAGAAGGAGCTGGAGGAAGCTGTGGAGTCTGAGGATTTTGAGACTGCAGAAAGGGTCAGTGATAGTCTTGCATCAGCTGAGAGGAACAAGGAGCTTCTTTCTGTTTCCTTGAGAGATGCTGAAGCAGACTGTGATGCCATTGATTCCAAGATGCAGGAGGCTTTGGAATTGCAAATTGTAACCGAAGAGGAGTGTGCAGCCCTTCTGCAAAGCTTTGTGGTGGTAAGTTTGCTATCTTTTTCATCAAATATATGATCTATAAACCAATTTTGTTTGTTAGTCCAAAACTACAATTAGTTTTGTTGCCTGAGCAAAAACTACAATTAGTTTTGTTTACAGTCTGCCCTTGATTTATACAACATAACTGTACACTCTTCCATTGGGGTTTTTGTTGACTTAATACATCAAAGACTCTTGTAAGTGGCTGCATGTGTGTATCATAGAAGTAGGTCTGACCCTAATATAACTGTCACTTTTATGCTATTCTTTCTATCTTTAGTATAAGGATTGTTAAAATGAAAATCTATCTTGTTGGTTTTATTATATATTTATATGTAGAGATGCAATCCTCACAACTGATGATTTCATTATCTGATCTTGGTATGATGCTCAAGAGATCCTATTGTTTCTTTGGTGTGATTTAGAAACCTAGAATTTTTACTGTTTTCCTAATTCTTTCTCTTAACCCTAATTTGGAATAATGGTTTATATCAGGATGCTGATCATGAAGCAGATGCTGTCATCTCAAATGCTGAAATCAAAACTTCAGAAGAAATGGAGAAATGGATTTCATTATCTGAAGCTTTAGAGGTGAAAAGAATAGAAATAGAAATTGAATCACATGTTCTATCAGGAGCACGACAAGTGTTAGATGATTCCATAGAACAAGTAATCACGGAAGACAGAGAAGAAAGCAACCTCCTTCACAACAAAAAGAACATATTAGCAGAAGAACTGCAGGAATTACTATCTTTAGTAAAACAAAAGGAATCAGAAATAGCAGAAAACGATTCAAAGATCGAAATAATTGAGAAAAAGATAGCTGATGTAACCTCTAGCTTCCAGGAAGCACAATCAAGCCTTCATTCAAAGTCCAATGTTCTTCAATCAAATCTTTCTGAAATCGAATCGGATCATGAATCTTTATCTAGAAAAAAGAAGGAAATCGATGACTTCCATATTCAAGAAGAAACCAAAGGTTCAAAAATCAAGGAACTTAGCCGAATTTCTGCAAATGAAGCTGAAATGTATAAAGAAGTTGTAAACCTGAGAAAAAGTCTAGTAAATTTCATCTCAAAATCACGTGAAGAGAAAGCAAGATTAGCTACAAATGAACAGAAGTTGTTTGATGATGTGCAAATCTTCAAACAAGATATTTCTTCTGTAAGAGCTTCACTTCAGGTTAGGCACAAACAACTTATAGCTGCTTATGAAATAAAAAGTTTTAAAAACCATATAAACTTTTTATTTTTTGTATCTGTTATGTTTTAGGATCTGTCATCAACAAAATCAGGAACCCAACAGGAGATTGAATCATCAAAACAGAGGCTTGTGTTCATAGACAAAAGAATACCAGAATTAGAATCTGAAAAGAAAGTTGCTGCAACTGCAAGAAACTTCAAGGAAGCAGCAAGGATAGCAAATGAGGTAAAGACACTGAATCTTGAAAAGGAAACTTTACAAACTAAAATAGAGGAAGCTGTTTCTGAGCTTAAGAAGATAGAAGATGATATCAGTGAGAGTGTGGAGAGACTAAAGGAAAAAGAAGAAAAGATTTTGAGTATGGAAAAGGAATTGGAAAAGGTGAGATACCAAAGGTTGCTTCTTGTTGGCAATGGTGCTAGAGGTGAAAGATTGGCAGCTATGGAGTTTGGTGATGTTGAAGAAGGTGAGATTCTGTTGAAGGAAGCTGAAGCTGCTGATTCTGAAGCTAGAAAGATTGAAGGGAATTGTAGTAAAGAGGAAAGTGTTATTATTTCCATGGAACTTGTTTCCAGTCTTGATAGGAATCAGCTAGCGGAATTGGTGGCATCTATTCCGATTGTGGAATCATGATGCAATGTGATGCAATGCAATGCAAGAATTTTTGTTTCTCATCATCCCAATTTTAGTGTTGGTAATGGTATTTTTGACTTCAAATCTTTTCATTGAATTTTTGTTTGTCTGTGATTTCTATACAGTGTGTGTTGTATAAACCATTGAACCTCTTTCCATTTTCTATTTTTTTTGTCATACAATAGTGTGGAGGGAAGTCACCTCACCCGAGAGACCTTTCTTTTTGAGCTTGTAAGAACTCGAATTCAATTCTTAAATCAACTTTCAAGGCTTATTATGTATATGTTAATGATTTAATGTGCATGTATGTACTTATAGTCGAGTTTTGATGTATAATATCTACTTAAACTATATAATGAGCACATACTTATATCCAAGTATCTCTCTTTCATGTTCCTTTAGATGTTGGTATTTATCTATTTTCCATATTGTAATTTCTTCCAGACTAACATACATGGATTGAAAATATTAAATCAGTAAAAGATTGGTAACTATGCAAATTAATGCCAT